CAATTATTAGCGAACACGTGTGCAACATAATAGTATGAAATTACGTAATTATACAAATATAATTTAATTGGTATTTGTCTTTATGTATTTATAATTTACATCAAAAATAGGTTTGGAATTTGCAGAACTAAGAAAGAAAATCATGATCGGGACTTAAACAAGTAATCATTGCAATTGTGTTCACAAGTATTTTATTTTAAGATACTACTTTTTAAATATATTTATCAACATTTTTATAATTCCCACGTATTTTCTAATAATTTTAATAGTTATATTATAAACTATAACCGACGGCAACCGTTTAAATAAACAATATTAAAATATTTGATTTTTGTGTGAGTAAAAATCTGACGTGTATACCACCTTATTGCAACCTGTAGGGGTTAAAAAAAATAAGTTGTAAACATCTTCGAGTTTTAAGTAATCTATTTATTTTTGTTATAATTTTTGTTGAAAACGGTTCAGTAGTTTATGGGTCTAGAGAGGTCAAACAAAGGAACATTCATTTTTATAACGAGTAAGTACACAGATAATCCTATTTGACTTTGCCGTTGGCTGACAATATTTCTCTTTCTAGTAATAAAGGATTCTTCCTGGATTAATGGCTGTTATATTTTTTGTTACAATAGATTAACTATATTAATTTATTTTATACATTTTAGTACTCATTTGCTATTTGTCTCGTTTTGTGCTGGGGTTTGGTGGAGGCACTGAGGTCTCAGGAATATTGAATTTGACACTGGCCGGCTGCCGCTTTCGTTAGTCTGCATTCGACGACAATGTGTTTAACTGTTATTGTTAGACTCCGGAAGTTGTGAGATTGGTTTAATCTTTTTTGCTCATAAGGTGCGCACCGTGTGTAGGTATATGTATGTCCTATTATTAAACGTGTTAAGATTACCTCTTATTTTCCGTTTAAAGTTTTTGTTTTTTTTTCCAACTTTCGGTGGTCTGTTTCTTGTTTCTTTTAGTTTGGTTTCTTTTCTCCTCCATTATTGTGACCATTTGTTTCAATCGTAATATTAATAAACCTTAGAATGTCTCCATAAGTGCAGTGTTTTAAGCTTATCTCCCTTTGTTCATTATTTGCCGTTTCTTTTGCCAGTTTATCCGCATTCTCGTTCCCTTCGTCCAACAGGCGCAATAGGAACCTAGTGATATAATTTTCATTGATTTTCATTGTTTTTGTTTTTGTTTTTATACTGCTTTTGTTTTCATTATTAATTTAACTTTTTACAACGCTTAATAAATGACTTAATTTTAAGGTTGTTGATTAATTTTCATTCTATACATAATATTATTGCGGAGTATAACATTTGGGTGGTGTACCTATAAATGCTACAGCCTGCAGTTATCATTAACTTGTTGTGTTTAACGAGAACTAGGTATGTAGTATAGTTGTTAGTCCAGTGCCATTTTAGATTTTTGACAAGTCGGTTGTGGGTATGTCATTATTATTAGTAGAGAGTTCTTCAACTGTTTCATAATATAACTGTTTACATGTTTTGTTACATTATTGGCTAGGAATATATTTGAATATATTTTTTAATTTTTCGATGGTGCTATAGGTTTGAAATTAATTTAGTGTTTTATCGAGAGTTTTTTACTTCATCTGTACAACCTATTGGCTTTAATAGTCTGCTGTCGTTATTAAAAGTACTGGTGAGTAATAAATTGTTTTAATATAATATATAATAAATACATGTTAACTTTTTAATACATGATATAACAGGTAGTTATTTGACTATGTATGGACACATTTTTTCGTGTTTATGTTAGTCGATAAAGTGGCTGAATTTAATATAGATATAATATATATAAATCGATACCAAAATTAATTTTTTTCATCAACTTGAAAAATAATAAGTACGATTATTTTATTGTAGTCTAAAGCCATTTTTTTTTTCAAAAATACGATTACATAGTTTAATATCATGAAAAAACGTTAGTGAGGTTAGTGATTTATGATTGTGTCTTGTGACTTGTGACACATTAGTAAATTTAAATTTAAATATTATATGTCGGGCCATGCTAAATCGCATCTAAGCTAGGTACTTCGTTGTATTTCACACCTACTTCAGCACACTTGAATTATTGATTGTTATAAACATTGAGAGTATGGGAAGTATGAAACCGTTGTCAACAATACTAAAAATCTTTAACAGTAGGTATTCTAGTTTATTATTTTTGAAACTGATAAAAGTAAACGAAATTGTACATAAACAACCAAAAGGTATTAAATACAGCATAAAGCGGATTTAAAAATTATTATTTAATTAAATGTAGTCATTAATATTACTTTATAGTTTATATAAGTACCTATGTTAATTAATTGGAAGGCAGTACCCCTAATTCGAAATTGTATGCAAATATTGTAAAACCGTTTTTTTTAATGTTATATAATATGACTTACAGCCACCCTTTTACCATAGTCAATAACAAAAATTCAAAAATTGCCATTTTATAGAGTTATTTATGAAGAAAAAAAACAATTTTGAAATCAGTTAAATTTTGAATGAACAAAAGTAGTTTATAATATTTTCTTAAATACAACATAGGTAATATTGGAAAATCGTATGTTTTTCAGTTTTCTACACTTCAAAAACTAATGCTAATCCAATGGGTAACAATGAACACACTACTCATTGAAACAGTACCTATGTAAATATGTAATACTTTTTATTTGTTTTAAAATATTATTCGTTATATCCACCATTAACTACTGTTTATTATGCAGAAGTGAATTTTATACGTCCATAATAGGTATTTGAAACGAAATTAACATGATATAGTTTTAAATTATTGCTCTAATGTTGTTACAAAAATTAAGTTATTGAAAAAAATCTATGAAAATTCTTTATTTTTTACTTTATTATCATCTAGTCAAACATCTGCAGAAAAACAACAACACATTTGAAATAATGAAAAATTCAAGAATTTAGTAAAATATCTCATCCACTTATATCTCTGGACTCCGAGTATGGCAAATTGATCATTCACTTAAACACAAATTTAAATATCTAAAATATAATAAAACACTGTCAGGCTAAGATCTTTCAATCCTAATTACGAGCTTAATTGGATATGTTACAAGCTCTAAACATTTAAACATATAGATTTTGATCATAAAGATTAAAGCTGTGCTACACTAGGGGGATGGATGTCAAAAACGTTTAGTATTGTACCAGTATTATGAGCTTATAGTAAACGTCGACGGATAACTGCTGTCATGTTCTAATTTTGATTGTGGTTTAACCCAATTAACACTTTAATGTTACTTTATTAACTTTTCAAGCATATCACTATAATAACCTCGCAAAATATTAGGTACATATTTTGAAAGCGCAATAGAAAATAATTGAATTCAATACACTATCCTAAATAGATGTATACATGTTGGTTGAAAGTTAAAACCGCATCCCCTGGGCTCAGATATTTCTTCAAATCTGCACCTTGCCATACTATCAGTAATATAATTTTCCCGAAAATGTTCAATGGTATCGGTTGTTGCCTGTTGGTAGTTTTGCTTCATATTCAAAAGTTAGAAGAATACAGTGAGAAAATGGTTGGTCCTAAAAGTTTTTTTGTACCTGCAAGGTAAAGCAGGGTTCGTAGAAAAAGACTAACCTACCGATACATACCTCATTTTTCTAGGTATTTATTTAAAAATATTAGTGAAGCGTGTTTATAAACAGTGTGTAAATTATACTTGTAAATACGATCATATAAAAAACCCGCCTGTTAGGTCTATAAAAAAAAATCCGTCTAAAATATTCAAGACATTAAATGTACTTTAACCCTTTTATGAGCTTGCATATCGTTTTGTAAAACCTCTTAAAGGCTTGATTTGTAAATTAATAAGAGGCATGAAATCAATAACATACCATTATAAGTTATAACATTTGAAAGTTAAAAAAATGTTTCATAAATACCTAGAGGTTTTTAACTTTCTAGAAACTCTAAACTCACTGTATCTTTAAAGTATAAATGGACTAAATCGTGTTTTGCATATAATGGAGATTTTCACAAAATTAAAAATATAGCAATATTATAATGATCTGTAAAAATGTCGAAAGTACAATATGCTCAGGCTGTCATATTATGTTATAACTTAGAGGTAAATTAATAATTTTTAATTAGGTACTATATAGTAATAATCAATATCAATGAAGTCTTGTTAAATACTTGAATCTCTTAACTGTTTTTATCTTTTCTTTTTAATGTAGATAATTTTCATTCTTAATAACATTTTTTAAATCCTTATAATAATATGTACCTGTATAAAAAAACGATATTATTAAGTTATTTTTCACTGTATGAGTTTGATCATTATTCAGATCGTAATATAAATTGTATTCAGAACTTATCTAAAAGTTCCAACTAAAATACCTATAGTAAAAATAAATATGTAATCACAATAAAAAGGTTTTTTTTTTGGACTAAAAGCTTAACATATTTATTTCAAATTATTTTTATGCATACATTCAGTTTTACATAACTACCATAAAACTGTATTGGTATTATAATATTATGCACAAAATAAACTTTTTTTAATATTGAGGTAAAACAACAATGATAATAACTAATAAGACGTGATTCATAAAAAAGTTTAAAAAGCCACTTATAAAAAAATGATATTACTGCATTAGAGCTTTTTGTTATCAATAAAATAATCAATAACTGACGAAGTTCAATAATAATAATAATAATAATAATAATAATAATAATAATAATAAATACAACATAATATTTAATAATGTAAATAAGTGTAATTTATATTAAAAATAAATACTTAAAAGATATTTAAAAACGTATTTGAATAAGAATTATTTTGTGTACTAACAATCAGTAAATAATAATGTCACCAATAAATGATTTTTATTTTCTTAAACATGTTCTTATAATATTTTATGGAATGATAATATTATATAGAAATCGCACTCATAACTATGATAAAAAAGGTAATAGAATCTTATAGAAAGTATAAAATTACGGTGCAACTCGTTTGCGCACAATCTACATTTTTTACCTAGATATCGATGACTCGTTTGCGCACAACGAAATCAGTCGTTTACCTGTAACGGACGACTCGTTTGCGCACAACATAAACACTGAGTAACATATATTTTATATTTTTAAATTTGAACTTACCTAAAGTAATTGAATTATCGGTAAAAATTATCAGTACCTACAAATTACCAGCATATCAATAATCAATATATATCGATTTAAAATAATCGTCGTGTATTAGGAAAGCATAATACTTTTAAACAGTCGTTCGCCAGAAAGCTGTACTATAACAACTGACTATGTTGACTATGGATATCGAAATTTGTGATGTTTTTGAAACGCGTCGAGGAAAAAAATGTTTAAACATAGAAAATTATAAATTTAGAGAATTCCGAACTTTAAAATCTGGTGATAAAAATTTTAGGTGTACAAATAAAAATTGTTCCGTAAGTGCTGTAGTTAGGTTAGTTAATGAATCATATAAAATTTTAAAAATTACAAACACGCATACCCATGACGAGTACGACGANACCGAACAATTCATCGAGAAGTAGTAAGAAGCAATTTGAAACGTAGAGCCGAAGAGGATTTACATATTAAACCAAATAAACTAATACGCCGGGAATTGAAAAACAACGAAAAATCTGAACATCTTCAATATAGCGATATGAAATTAATTCGAAGATCCATGTATGAAAAACGAAAAAAATCCTTTCCAAACATACCGAGATCTTTAGAAGATGCTAAAAAACAATTAGTTGATGATCAGCATAATATTACTTACAAAGGTAATAAATTTTGTTTCGTTAGTGATGATGAAAATATATTTATATTTACATGTAAACAAAATTTGGAATTGCTACAAAGTGCAGAACACGTTTTTGGGGATGGGACATTTTCATTCGCTCCGAAATATTTTGTTCAACTTTATACTATTCACGTATTTACAAACAATTTTTATGTTCCTGTGGCATTTTGTTTTTTAAGTAACAAACATACTGATACTTACATCAGTATGTGGAAAACATTACAAAATATATGTATTCAAATTACTGGTAATATAATAAATTTAAGCAATTTTCATGTCGACTTTGAAAAATCTGCGCATAATGCAGTATTGCAAATTTTCCCTAAATGCAAAATCATGTGTTGTAACTTTCATTTAGGGCAAAATTGGTTTAGGCATATTCAACAACATAAATTATTATCGAGCGAGTACTTAAACAACGACTCAGAAGTTGGAAAATGGATGAAATGTTTTTTTGGATTAAGTTATTTACCCCCTGACGAAGTTTCCGATGGATTTTGTGATCTTATGTCAATAGCACCAAGTACTACGTCTAATATTTCTATATTTTCCGATTATATTTTAGAAAATTACATAACATCGGACAGCAATTTCCCTCCAACATTATGGGCTTGTGAACCTACTAATAATCCTAAGACTACTAATGGTGCCGAGAGTTATCACAAACAATATAATAGTCAGTTTTACACTGCTCATCCGCACATACATCAAGTAATCGACGTCATTATTGGAATTCAAAGTGACACTGATTTAAAAATTAATTCGATAAACAATAAAATCATAAATTTCAAAAGAAAAGAGACAATTAATAAGGAGATACAATTGGAAAACATTTGGAATGAATATAAAAATAATATTATTAATCGTTTAACTTATATGAAGAAAATCGGACTTAAATGTCACCATTCTAAATTAGTATAATTTTATAACTAATAGACTACTATTATTACTTATTAAACCTACAATGCATGTTTTTTAATATATTTTAATTTTTGTAATATTAAAATCATTATTTAAACCTAAAATATGTGTGCGCAAACGAGTTGTGATTTTGTGCGCAAACGTGTTGTAAAAAAGGTAAATGTGCGCAAACGAGTCGCACCCATAAAATTATGTAGATCAATGTAAATTCCATACTACATTATAGGTATATAACAAATAATAATACCTCAAATTTTTATTTATAACATAATTTTTATTACCTATCTAATTAAATTTGAATATTTCTTTCAAATGAGGCTGCCGATATTTATACTTACCTAATCCTACCCAGTTAAGAAGAAGTTTTTTAGCTATTCCCAATACACGAACCGGCCTCAAGAACTGACCGATTGTTGAATCAATACAAATCAAGTTTTCTAAGTCATATCGTACAGATCGTTATGACCTGCGTTCATGTACTAACACAATCGAACACGATATAGCAACATAAACAAGGTTTATAGAATGATTGAAATAGTAATAGTATTATACAGTACACTATCATACGAGTAACCCTGTCCTTAAATGTAGCATATTGAATATCACAGGAGAAGCGGAGTGCGATTTGAAACAAATTGAATTATTATTATTAATCTATACGGTAGGTTATTATTAAACCCAAGCTGGATTGATATCAATCCACCTTGATTATAACTTAAGTAGTTAAGTAAATCGAATTATTAATGTTACTCAAAAATGTAGAGACGCCTGTATGTCTGATAGTCGCTAATTCACGATTCAAACTCGACTGGTGGCTATGTCAATAATATATAGTATAATATGTGCTCGTACTCAACGTGCCTGTGTTTTGTTAACCTAACACCTAAGTAAATTCGCCGAGGACGATATAAATGACTAGACAGTTAAATCTGTAGATCGTTGTAATGTGTTTAAACATGATACGTAATAATATTATGCATGAGAAGGCAGATGAAGCTGCTAGAAATGCAATCAACAGTCCACACAGTGAAATAATTCCTTTTTCCTCACTAGTAGATATAAAAAGAAATATAAACAAATACTGTATAGATCTGTGGAACTCACATTGGCACAAGACCACGGAAAATAAATTAAGAGAAATTAAGCCAAAAGACCAAAAAAATTAGGTAATTTTTAATTGACTCAGAATTGGTCACACGAAACTCACACACGGACATCTTATGGCAAAGACACATCCTATGCCCACATGTAATACAAACTACTCCATCAAACATATCATCATCCACTGCCCTAACTTCAATGAAGCTAGAAAAGATTTTAACATCCCAGACAACCTATACAAAGCAATTGGTCCATTTTCAAACTTTCAAAACATAATTTTATACTTAAAAAAAATCAAATTGTAAAATAGCATATAACCTTCAATGTTAAAATGTAACACTTGTAAAGCTAATAACCTGCATAGTTGATGCTTAACCAATAAAGAAAAAAAAATATATATATAGGGCCTTTAGGTATATAATTAATAATTTTTTTCAATAAAAATGTATATACATAGATTAGATACGTACATTTAATTACGTAACGTTTTTATATGTTGATATTATGTTGTTACCTAGGTACTTGTTTATTATTTTAAATAATACTAACTGATCCTGCACAGAAATGTTCTTGACAAATTAAATGCCCATGGTTTTAACCCTTGTTGAACTCTGTTAAATGTAAAGAGCACAGATTATTTTTAACATGGTTACTTGGGTTGTTTAACCACATAAAAATTACAAATCTAAAATTATATCCAATTATATAATAACAATTCTCTTGCATAATTTATTGACGACAATTGTAGAAAAATCGGTCAAAACTTGATTTGCATACGGTTCATCCATTTCAGTCCTTTGATATTATTAGTAGATATATTTATTGATTTAGTACACTTGATCCTGCATGGTGTTGCCCGAGACAAATGCAATAATGTCAGTAAATTTACCCTGTTTTAAACTCCTTTAAATGTAAAATTTAAGCAGTAAACTAAACACATATTTTTAACGCTGTCATTTGGGGGTGATTTTAACCAAATATAAAATACAGGTCTAAACTAATAACTATTTTATTTTCTGTAATATAAACTCTATAAGAACAAAAAATTATTCATTGCTAAAAATCCTTATTTGAGCGTCTCTTTAAAATGCAAAATTGAAAAATTTGGCTCCGATGTGCACATCCTGGGGTAGTTGCTCAGCTAGGATCGATAGTCTATAGATCACCTTCTATGCACCTACTAAATTTAATATTTACACACACACACATACACACTCGAGCGCAAACATTGCTTTTTATTAACTTAGATTATATAGAGAAGCTTGCAACAACTTTTGTAAGTCTAATTAAAATTAATACATTTTTGAAAAACTTAAGTACTTAGGTACTTATAAAAATTACAATAAAACTTATTTGAGTCATTTTGAAATACAATACTTTCGCTTTTAATTAGCAATTTGTTTTGTATGAAGTTACTAAAATAATATAAACCTACAAAGGAATATTTTTCCTGATATAATAGCTTATTAAACAAATATCGCTCAATGAAATGAGAATAATACAAATGTAAATTGTAAAGTGAATTGCAATTTGGAAATAAAAGTATGTGTACGTATTTTTTTTTATTAGAAGAACAAAGATATGGGTTTAAAATTGAAATGTGAAACTTAATATAAAAAATAATAAATATAATACTAAATAAGTATGTATAAGTTCTTCTACTGGATGAAAAATTAATATAATATTTGATTTTGATAAAAATTGTTTTTAAACGGTTATTTTGAAGCTACAGATAAAGAAACCTATAAAAAAAAAAAATGTTTAAGCTTTTCCCAATTACCAAGAATCCAGAATCGGCGTCACGCACATCGATTAAATATATTTTTCAGTACACACTAGGCCCCGACGAAGAATCCATCAAAAATATATTTTTACCTACGATAGGATTGAACAATTTCATTTAAATTATTTAAATACCATATTATGTAAAACAAGCCAATGGTCACGTCATCGAGACGTTTTTCTTTAATAAAAAAAAACAATGTTAATACACTCGAAGAATTAAAATACCAAAAAAAATGTTTACTTGAATTTTCATTCAACGATTTTCATCAATCTACGAAAATATCACATTGCAGTTATGTATTTTTTATTGTAGCCACATGAAGCTGAGTTGTTTGAAAAATTTAAGTTTTTAAAAAGACACTTTTGTCTCGAAGCTCAACGGTATTATACTTTTGGTTATTGGCAATTCGTGTTGAAAAAAAATATTGGTATGAAATAACTTCAAAACGAATTATTTCATTTTATTTCCATGTTAGCTTAATATAATGAAAAAAATATACGGCGATCACGTGCAAGTTTTTTCAATGACTTTTGCATAACTAAATATATTTATTTTATATAAACAAATGAACTGATGAAATATGCATGACACCGTAAAGAGATTATAGTATTATATTATATGTAAATATTTTGAACATTCTCAATCCAGAGTTAGATTTGTTGAGATCGTTTGATTTTGAAATAATTTAATGACCCATACACGGGCAGAGTATCAGAGTGTATCTGACGTTAAATTTATGTGGTCGATTTTATTAAAACCTATAATACCTCACCGCAATAATGGCCGTCGATGTGTCTACAACTACCATATTGTTGGTTGCTCTGCACACGTCTTATTATCATGTGATATGCGTTTCCTGTCTTTGTGTCACTAAAATTATGTATTTTTAATCTTTAAATTTTACCATCGAAATTTTTTTTTCATTTTAATAATCACATAAATTTAAATGTTAATAATTATATAGTCATAAGCAATAGAAATACGATTATTACAGTGACCCAGTATACATTATGTGTAACTATTTAACTTTAGGTTACCTACGCACATTATGTATATATATATATTATGTATATTATATATACCATTACCTAAAATATAGTATAATATATGTATGTAGTAATATTATATACCATAGGTTAAAATTGTGTAGGTACCTATATACGGTATATATAGGTAAATATGTACATAATTTTAAATTCTGAGCGGAAAGATGAATGTAATTTTTAAACGTTTTTTTTATAGTGAATGTTAGATGTTCATTTTAATAAGACAATAATTATTCAAAATTAAATTGTGAATCCCCACAGTGTACGTATATTAATTATAGGTACTTCAAATAACGATTGTTAAAATACTAGTATTTCATGTGACATATGATATTTTCTATCACATTACTTATACCTCAAGCGTATGCATAAATAATATAATAATATACCTACATGATATTTCAAGTTAAACTTAATGGTATTATGTAGAGATTTTAAACACATTAAACTACCTGCTACCCATATTATATTCTATTAATATCATCTAGTAGCAAGAATATAATTATAAAACATACATTTGATCTGTTAAAATGTAACGAAAAAGTAAGAGTTATATATACAGAGTGTAGAATAATGCCTTATAATATTATGATTGCATGAGTAATAGTTTTAAATACATGAATTAAATATATTCTGTTTAATGGAGTGTACAATGTATATTAATGTCATTATACTCATTAAAAACTTAACGTGATTTTTTTTAACGTTACACATGGAAACAGTGCTCATTGTAGTAGATTCACATATTCACATATTATTATATTATGTTTTTGTACAAACTATATAGATGACATACAAATGGATGATCGGTTAGCAAAATATACAACAGTTGGTAAGTAAACAACTATTACGTTTAAGAGAAGAGTATATTAGTATATTAAATTCAGTTGAGTAAGATTGACGGCAACGATAAATTTTACGGTGGCCAGTGATTTCGGAAGTTTTTCTTTTTGCTGAATAGGCTATTATTTGTGCAGAATTTCATGAAAATATGTTTACTGTTGATATGGACCCCGCAGGAAGTGCATATTAGTGGGGTTTTAAAATGTGATTTTAAAGTTTAAACAATAATTTATTATGAAAATATTGTTCTCAGAACCTATTGTTTGACATGGTACTCAAATGTGAAGACAAGTTTAAAACTAAGAAAATATAAAAAAATGTCTGTTATTATTGTACGTTTAAAATGTGTAGCCTACATGAACACAGAATTGCACACGCCATTTGCCGTAATAGACTTAAGCTTTGCTGTG